TTTTATTTTCTCAGTGAGGGGGGGGGCTTTCTGGCTCCTCCCCTTTTTTTAATATCTAATATTTTTACATGCTGCTAGTGAGAGAACCTATTGTTAAAATATTTGAATCCCACCACTGTATATTTCTGTTGTATTACAAATATTGTTTGTTTGCTTCTTGTTATGTAAATTTGTGTTTTGTTTTATCACTAAGCTACATTTTTCCAAAAATAAGTTGATTACCTTGTTATGAATAATATATCACACAAAGTGCATGTAGTAGAGGAAGTGAAGTTTTTGCTTTGATCAGCAGTAAAACATTTGTGCAGTTTATTGAGTCATACCATACCACAGGCTCTTAGTAGTAGCAAGCAATTCAAATGGACACTCAAACAACAAACCCACAGAGCTTACACAAAGATTCACAGTGACAGCAGTACATGACAATCAAAGACAGTATGTACATATGCCGATCAGAGTGAAGTGCACAACTGCAAATACTCCTTCCATTAAACATGCCGAAAAAGGAACGAATTAAGAAGTAGAATGCCATGAAACTTTTTTCTGTGGCAGCTAAGTGCCAGAAATTGTAAGGTCACCAGAAGTGAAATTCTGGAAAACTTTAAAATGCTTCTCCTCCCAAGGATTTTGTTTGATCCTTCTCAAAGTTAGATAAATTAATAAGCGGAGAGAGCTGCCTAAAAGTTTTAAAAGATTTTCAGGTCAAACTTCATTTGGGATCAAGAGGTCTGTATATAAGATTATTATAATATAAAAAAAATTTTGTTTACTCCTTGGTTCAATCATTTTCCTTAAAAAAAAAAGTACTTAGTGGAGATCATACACTTTCCACATCAAAGTTTACTTTCCCTCTATTTTTTTTGTGCCTGCTGTAAAGTTTGGGACACAAACAGCAGCCCATGAAATCCAACATTGCAGTAACAAGTACAAAATGGGATTTGCTAGAATTCGGCCTATTTACATCCACCAATGTTATGTCTAACTACCATGGATCAGTTGAAGAGGAGCCTTCCCCAATAATATATAGAGCAGAAATATTTCAAATACTTCTAAATTGTTGAAAGATTATGTATTATAAAAAAAACATGAAACAGCAATATAACAAAAGGTCATTCAGTCAATCAATTTACTCTTCACCCCAATCCATAAACACAAGGAAGCTATATATTTTGGCCCACCACACTGTAACCTACCTAAAATGTTGAAAGCTGAAAATACCGAGAAAAAACATTCTTCAATGCTTGATAAAATAGCTTGATGTACCTAAACCACAAAAATAAAATTTAAACAACCAAACCTACCCATTTGTTTCATGTTGTGAAGAGTCTGATTCTGTGCAAGGATTTCTAAAAGTCACTAAACACTCAATGGTTTCTCCTGCAAGGAACACACTTCCACGGGATAATGAAGCATGAACCTCCATCACGAATAACTCTTTAAAACATGAAAACTTGTAACTTCATAGCTATAGTTAACAACAGAACAAGTATAAAAACACATACTAAAGTCTAGCAATTTGACCAACTGATTATATTTATTTTATTAAATAACCACAGAAATTATTGTATAATAATATTTTCAGATGAAAGAAATATCTGTGTTTGTTCTTATCCTATGTGTTGCTTAAAATTTAAATGAAATTTGATATATACAAATTTGTAAAGCCATGCAAAGTTAATTAACTGGTTTTCAGGATGTGGTTAGTTTTGTTACCCATGGGTGGAATATTTTCTCCAATTAGAGAGAATATTGTTGCTAGGGAAAATACTGGTTAGTGAGCAACTAACGCTTTATATATATGAAAAATATTCATCCTTAATTAATGGCCCATGAATTAGTACCATATTTGCCAGTGTATAAAACAATATTTTTTACTCTTAAAACAATGTCTGATTTTACCCCTTGTCTTATACACAGGTTCAAAGATAAGAATTCCAGTAAGAACTCTCCAGTTAATAGCTTATTTAATCAAAACTACATTGTTCCTTTTATTTGTGTTTGCTTTTTTGAGTAAGTGCATTGACGTTTTGCCACCTACTGTGTTACAATAACATATTTGTAATTGTATCATTTGTCTCAATTCTTCATAAATAGAAGTTATCTCCCATGCTTGTTACAATTAACCAAGCCATTCTGGATTTGAAATATATCAATCTCATCCATCAAAATCATTTAGTGAAATATGATATCATTAAACTGAAAGAAAGTCAACCTAACTTAACAAAGAAAATCTTAACTTACTAATCTATTAACTTTTTAGAAGATATTACTCGTAACCTTAAATATAGAATAGGTGTGGTTTTGGTGTACTTAAGATTTTCAAAAAGCTTTTTACAAAGTGGCACACAAAGGATTAATTAAGAAAATCACATTATTTTGGTTTGAGGAAAACTAATTAATTGGAATGCAGTGTGAATGGATATGTGAAATTAGGATTTTTATTAATGAAGTCCAATCCAACTACTTTTATTGATACTACTTGTGAAGTGCCTCAAGAATCAGTGCTTGGGGCTTTGCTTTTTCTTATTTACATTACTGATAAGGCCATAATTAATAATCTGTTGATGATATTAAATTCTTGATTATGTATAGCTATATTCAGGATGGTGAGGCATTACAGAATGATTAGAAATAAATCTATTGGTAAGTCAGTAAACATTTGGAAAATGACCTTTAATTATAGTAAATGAAAGGAAGCCTCTTCAATAAAAATAATTAACATGACTGTGGGGAAAGATCTTTGCAGAGTCGTGGCTAACCGATAAGTAAGTCAACTTCCTAAGACATCAAAGTAGTGCTATGTTATTGTTAATCCATTACTAATGAATTTTTGGGTGTACTTTTATACGCATTGCTTACAAGGCAAAAAACGTAATTATTTCCCTATGCAAAACACTGTAGTATTGAGTAATAAGACCTCATTTGGAATTCTAATTCTAGAAAATCATCAAAAGAACTAGATTAAGAATGCAGTGTTTATAAATGTATTACAACTAGTACTACTAATGGTATTACTAATAAGGCTATTACTAATGTAATAGTAATATTAATTATTATTACATTGTTTTATAAATTATACTACAATTCACACATAGTAACAGTAACATGGTATTATAATACATAACAATAAGAGTATGAATCATTCACAATGAATGGCAACAGTTTGTGTAATCGCAATCTATGTGCAGCATCTTCGTAATATTAATTTTAATTTACTATCTGATAGCAAGCGATTATATATAAACATACCTTTGCTAGTTGTTGCTTTTTATCAACATTACATTGACGGTGACACGATACAAAACTTTCTCGCAAAACTACACTCAAGTAAACTTTATAGTAGGCTCATGACGTATTAAAACCAGTCCGCTGCATAACAAGTAGCGCCTCTAGCGGTTGTCATGTCATTTATCTTTCCGCTTGTGAACTGTAGCAATTTTGTTCGTAAAAATATTGTTTATAGCCTACAGAAATGTTGCCATCCAGTGACTTGAATAATAAAATCGTAAATAAAAGAGAATTTTTCAGTGCTCCAAATTGTACAAACATACGTCAGAAAGGCAGGAGCCAACACACCGCACTTGATCAATGACATTTACTTTAAACAATAAGTGTAATTTTCATCAAAACGCGAAATTGGCAGGTTTATTTTTTTAAATATAAATAAACAGGAAGTTTCAACTGTTAATCCTGCCAAACAATGGTTTAAAAGCTATACAATAATTTATAGAATTTATTCTCACATGCTAAATATTTAATAATTAAAACACCACTTAATCAATACTGACATTAGATGTAAAATTTTCTTATAGGTCATTGTTTTGCTGTAATGCAAGTAGTGGGTTTAATAGATGCGTCTAAACTTGAAAAGACTTAGTGTACATGTATACAAACTGTAAATTGTGTGCAATTCATTTTGAAGTATCGCAGGCCATGAACAATGTCACATAAAACAAGTTGGTCCATAATGCTATCCCATCACTCTTTAACCTTTCAAGCCGCCACGAGTAGAAAGCAGTCGACGGATTATCAAGCGTTCACATCCATCTAAATACCGCAAACGGCTGCAAAGCACTCTCTGGTTGATGGCAACAACGTTCCATTGAATGAATCTGTTAAAAACTACCCGTAGAATTCCAAACATTCTCCGACTGTAGAACAATTGTAGATGCAACTTCATAATAAGAAGATACTGTACAGGCGTTTGCATTAGAAACTAACGAAGACATGTAACACTCTCCAGGCTTCGGCGACCACAAGACAAAGAATAATCATGGATGCCCAGAATCTTTTTTCCAAACAAACACTGACATTTGTTCTTATGCAAACCAATAAAACAGGAAAAGCAGTTCGAAAGAGTGATAGAATGCTGTCTAATCTTTATGTTACCAAGGTCAAGGGCTGTGTCGTTTCCTTCGCAGTTCCTTCCCAGCTAAAAGTTCATAGTCACTTTGGATACATGGGTACAAATGAAACCAAGTTTTAATGAGAATATTTTTAAAGCTCCCCAAGCTAAAATTAGCACTTTTGTGACTGATGATCGTTGCATTCTTATGGTTGACGAAATGGCTCTTAGGGTAGACCTCACCTACTCAATCAAGCAAGATAACTTGGCGTTGAGGATGATGGGAAATATAGGACATTATTATATCTGCTACTAATGCACTATCATGCATGGTCTGTGGATAAATGGAAACAAACTCTGATGCACACATGGGCATTAAGAAAAGTGCAGAGCAATTCAGTAAAAGATGCAATGATCACTTGCATTGATAACTTACGGAAATTGGTTTGTGTGTCTATGTTGTTATATCAGATCAAGGTGCTGCATCCAGAAAGCTGTTTAGAAAACTGGGCGTGACCTGTGAAGAGCCATAATTACACATTCACAACAAACACATTTTGGAGTTTGCTGATCCACCTAATTTTATAAAAACATTCGAAATTTGTTGTAGAAATACGAAGTACATTACTCTGGGGGAATTGCCAGATGGGAAAATATTACACTTTTTTTTATTAACATGACAAACAGTGCAAATTTTGACTTGCTTCGCGTCTATGCCAGAAACATGTCGATCTTCCATTCAGAAATGCACCAAGAACATTTGAAGGAAAGAATATGATATAAAATTTAAGAGAGTGTAATTGCACCATAATTTTGTTCACAACAAACTACTGATTTTGTTTTGGACTTGATTGTGAAGACAAGAATGTACTACAACTTAAGGTTTTCTTTCACCTTTATACTGGTATTGAAATGATGTTCCATATGTGTTTTTCGAGAATGGTAAATAAAATGTTTTAAAAAGAATAACTTGTTGGAAAAACAAAACATTAAATATTTAGTTACAGGTAGAAATTAGGAGTCTTATGGAGCATTTGCAATGAAGACGATAAACAGCTTGAGATAAATGTTTTTATTCTATTATGGATTACGTTATCAGGTTATAAAACTGATTTTAAATTTAGTAATCCAACAATAATGTAAAACTACCAATAAAAGAACACTGCACAGTGAAGCGTGCTAGAAGTATAGATGTACAGGTTAGAGTCGCTGATCATAAAAGTAAATGTTAAAAAATAAGTCTTACATGAAATAATATTAGATTTAGAGGGGCCACGTATTGTATCTGTTATTGGGAGGGCATTTGGATTAAATCTAAAGAGATTCCTTAAATTTCCAATCAAGAAAGTTGTCACAAAACTCTAAAATTTTAGCCAGGTAAGGTGTCTCATTATGCTATGTGCATTCATGTAACGTTCAGTGGTGGCTTCTTTATTATTAAGATTTGCAGCGGCTAGAATGCGTTCTTTGGAACGATCCTGTATTGGACGATTGGATTCACCGACGTGTGTAGCTGAACACTGTGTGCATGTCATTTCATAGATGGTGCTCCCAATTGTGCAAGATTTCTCTAAGCCATTTAGCGGCCTGGCATGGCCAGGCCGTTAGGGTGCTCTACTCACAATCTGGAGGTCGCGGGCTCGAATCCCCGTCCCACTAAACATGCTTGCCCTTTCAGCCGTGGGGGCGTTATAATGTGACGGTCAATCCCTCTAGTCTTTCACTGTTAAACTAGGGATGGCTAGCGCAGATATCCCTCATGTAGCTTTGCGCGAAATTCCAAACAAACAAACTAAGCACTTTTTGGATTTGCATGGATTGTTGTTATTGAAGGTTAAACAAGCAAGCATATTTTTCAGTTGTTTACAGGGCTTAAATATGATGTGGATATTCAAACCAGATTTTCTAGTTGCTTGACGAAGACGAGTGGTTAAAGGTTTATCCACAAAGAGAATAATCCACGAAACAGTGTTTTGATATGGTGGTTTCTTTTTTTTTCTGTTGTTTGTTAAAATCTTGTGAGTCAAAATTGTGGCATGTATTAGTAATATAACTATATGGATAACCATTAGAAACAGTAACTTTCGATGTTTCAACTTGGCTTGCGTCTTGCCGATAGTGTTGCAAATTTTTTCAATTCTCTTTAAGTTGACTGATAATAACACCCCACTTGGTAGTTAGTGGATGTGTGAGTTATAGTTTAGAACAATGGGTTTAAAACATACTTTGGAATATACGGTAGAAATAAGTTTGTTGTTTTCAGTAGAATCATAGCATCAAGAAAAGGTATATACTTTATCAGTATGAATAAGTGAGAGCTTTATGTCGGGGTATTGATTATTAAGGAATTGAACGAATTCCAAAAGAAAAGGGAGTCCATGATTCCATGAACCGAAAATGTCTTCACTATATCTGTACCATCTAGTTGGTTCAAGATTAGTTTCAAAATTCCACTGAGTAAGAGCTGATGATTCAAAGAAATTCATAAAGATAGAGGCCAAACGACAGCAATATTGCTGCCAATATCGATCTCTTTGATTTGTTTATAGAGCTGAATTGAATTTAAAGTAATCTGAGAGGATTATAGATTAGTTATATAAGGGTATCATTGGTAGTAGAAAGGGTAGTCCATCTAATAAGGTTCATAACCGAGCGTATACTTTCTTCTATAGAAATGCAAGGGTGCATAGAAAAGACATCAAGAGTAAACAGAATAGTGTTTGAACTCATCTGTAAACTATCTTTTCGTAACTTACTGAGAAAGACGTCAGTGCTATTTAGGTGTAAAGGGATATTGTTGAGGAGACGGTGAAGTAGCTTATCAAGTAGCCAAGATACAGACGCTAACGGAGAGTTGCATATGTCAGATTTATGATCTTTGATAATTCATGCAGTTCAGGGGCTTGGAATGAAATGATCCAAGATTGTCTAGAAATCGCGTGGTTATAATAGTTTTACTTTTAAATTTCTTCAAAATGTCTTTAGCATTTTTTTCCAGTTATTTTGTAGGGTTTTTGTTAAAAGGTTCATAACTAGATGTATCCTCGAGATGAACCATAATCTTTTCTAAGAAAGTAGATGTATTAATTAAAACAAAGCCTTTGTATTTGTCGCTCACTTTCACAATTATGTGATCATTCTTTTTCACCTCATTGATAGCTAACCGCCCGTTTCTTGAAAGATTGGACTTTGCATAATAATTCTTAAATCTATTTAAAATCCTATCAACATCAATTTTAAGTTTCTCAATACTCTCCTCCATAGTAGGGCAAACTCTGGAAGGTATGGATTTAGGAAAATCAGAAGTTATAGGAGAAAGATTAAATTGTGATTCATCCACATTGTTATGGGAGTTAGAAATGTCTATATGGGGAGAAAAATATTTTTAGTGAAATCTTAATTTGCAGAAACATTAGTGAAGACATGAACGAACATCAAAAAGTTACCTTCTCGGTAAGCTGACACGAAATAGCAAAATTAGGACCTTTGAAGAGAATGGATGTACAGTCCTTGAAAAGTTTTGGATTATCTAGAATTGTAATTTTATCGTTCAAATCATGGTTATCGGAATTACTTTTAAAGACATGACTTTCTTCTCAGTCGTGTGTGCTAATCAATCTAAACACCTTTCCATTAATAGGTACAATCTATTATCATTTCCTTAACATTTACTTTTGTTATCAAAGACTCTAACTTGTTCAACAATACTTTTAGCATGCCCACCATGCCCAAGTGGATAATCTTCTTGAATTTTGTTTTACAACGAAATATGTTTTAATGTTTTTTAAGGTAAACAAGCAATTTTGTCGTAATTTTAAGATATAAAATAGTTAAACCATACATAAATAAAATCATCTTTACATGGTTATCCACTTCAATTACGTCTATAATTTGTTTTTCAAATAACAAATCACTTTAAGAAATACTTTTTTCATAAGAGAGATGAGCTAGAAAAATGCCCCTACAAAATGCATTGGGATTTAATTCACGTAAAATTTCATAGACGGCAATCAACTCGAAATT